TGTGTGTCTGTGTCTATCTGTCTGTCTGTGTGTCTGTCTGTGTGTGTCTGTCTGTCCGAGTGTCTGTCTTTCTGTCCGTGTGTCTTTCTTTCTTTCTGTGTATCTGTCTGTGAGTCTGTCTGTCGGTGTGTCTGTCTGTGTGTCTGTCTTTGTGTCTGTCTGTGTATCTGTCTGTCTGTCTGTCTGTGTGTCTGTCTGTTTGTCTGTCTGTGTGTCTGTGTGTCTGTGTGTCTCTCTGTCGTAGACCATGTGCCTCCTGTGCAGGAACATGTGCTGTGTCTATCAGAGACCACATTGAGGATGTTGACGCTCTAATCACACGCTTCACTCTCTCTCTGCCTCTCAACAGGAGGATAACAGTAATTATTCCGATGCACGTACACATGGCCGTATTGACAGTAATTATTCTGATCAACAGGCTGGTTTCCTCTCAGGATCAATGCATTTTAAGAAAAGCACCAAGACGAGTGGAGGTGGAGAGATAGCATGGCCACATGTGGTGCTGCTAAGAGGCACCGCTCACTGGACAAATATCACATCCACATTACAAAGATATCAATGTGCACCGTTGTGGTCACACATCTTGGCAAAAGTTAACAATTAAAGGCAGCCTCAGAAGAAAAGAAGCTGCTTCACATTTATAGAAAGGGTAGATGTGTCGATAATTAAAGCATGAAGAGGCTATCTTTGTTATTTTGCTGTTTTGGTGCAGTGAAACCGCAGGCAATGACTACACACACACACACACATTGGGGAACATAGTGTGCTTTCTGTTAGGCTGTAAAATCTGAAGCTGAAGTTTCTAAATAAGAACCTGTTAGCACTGACTGACAACATCTAAGAAATCAAAACAACATAATTTAAATCATTTGAGGACATCAACTTATTTATTTAATAACTTTTATTTAACCAGGTAAATTCCACTGAGGTCTCAGATCTTTTTTGAAATGTCCTCCTGATCCTGAAGGCGTCACAACATGCATGTTTTGGACTGTGGGTGGAAACTGGAGAAAACCCACACAAACATGAGGAGAACATGCAAACTCCACACCGAAAGACCCCAGGTCCAACTGGGGATTGGACCCAGGACCTTTTTGCTGTGAGGCAACAGTGCTAACCACTAATCCACCATGCTGTGGAAAAAAAAAAAAACAAGTTACTTTCAAATGAACATATTGGCTGAGTGTGTATTATTAAAGATCCATGAGCATAAAGTTTTTAAAAGTTGAATGGGAGTGTTATAAAACTGCAAGTGATCAAGTCAAATAATTAGATCCCATATTTAAGATAAAAAATAATAATTTACTTTCCACTTTTGTAAACCAGAAAAACAAAAGTGCACATAAGTGATGGGAGGATGGAGAGAGCATTGTATTATTTGCAGTATTGAGGGTGTTTGTTAATGTTAAAGATTGAACCAAGTCACAATTTAATGTTCTTGATTCACTGGTCTGTCAATGATTCAACCCTATGGTCATTGTGAAAAGAGGAGATCCTGCATCCAAGCAGATGAAATGAGCTTTCTTCTTCGGGTGGCCGGGCTAAACTTCAGAGATGAGGAGCTGCCCTTCGTTAGGCAGGAGCTCCGAGTAGAGCTGCTGCTCCTCTGCATCAAAAATGGTCAGCTGAGGGGGGCTTCAGTCGTCTGATTAGCATCTTCCTGGGTGCCTCCCTTTGGAGGTTTACAGGCACTGGGGGGAGTCCCTGAAACAGATCCAGACCTATCTGAAGGGATTTTGTATCCTCCCTGGCTTGGAAATGCCTTGGAATGCCTGAGGAGAAGCTGAAGAGTTGCTGGGGAAAAGTATATCTTGGCCTTCACCCTGGACTTGTTTTCTCCATCAGGAAGTAATGAGTAAGGAGGATCTGATACAGAGAACAGGATACAATAATAATAATAATAATAATAATAACAAAAAGAAAAGCTAAAAACAAAACTAAACGGAGTACACGGAACAGACAGGTAGATGACCAGGGTAATATTCAAGTAACAAACAGGACTAGAGAGGGAAGGAGAACTAAGGGTGTAAATCGCCAGCTTTACCACGATACGATATTATATTGATTTGTCTGTATGACGATACGGTTTTTCTCGATATCACAAAGTCTGTCACAATACGATTTCGATTCTATTCGATTCACAAGTCTGCGATCGATATATTGCGATATCAAATGCCCATCTCATTTACATACAAATACATTTACAAAAACACTTCAAATATGATTTAACCATTTTATTTCTGTTATTACAGGCACCAGGCATTTAAATAAAAAAATAAAAAAACATTTTTTCTTAATTAATGAAAAAAAAATAATAATAAATGACCTGTTCAGTATAGTCTCACATTTCTCATGTTTAAGTGCATTTTTTAAACCAGTTAACTTAAAAGTGTCCTGATTACGTTTCAGTTATAAAGAAATAAAAATAGATATTGAGCTTACATAACATGGCTATCAATGCCGGGTTTCTTCTTCTGGTGAACGGACACATTTTTTGTGTTTCCCGAGTATTTTAACTCACACTGGCACCTGTTGCATACGACATGAGTTTTGTCTGTTGAGCCGTCCTTCTGTCGGGATCCAAAATATTTCCACAGAGTTGATTTAAATCCAGCAGGAGATTGAATTTCATTATCTGTGTTTTCTGCCTCGTCTGCCATGTTGCTGAGGTGGCCGCAGAGCGCAGCCGCGCACGGAAATGATGACACAGACGTGCCTTGAGAATTTCAAAATAAAAGCGTATTTTAAAGATGATTATATGAATTGATGTTTTAGTTTTGCCACAATATAATTTAATCATTAATCATTTAATCGATGTATCGATTTAAATCAATGTATTGTTGCACTCCTAAGGAGAACAGGGTGTATAAATACTGGTAGACAGGGAGGAATGATTTGTGCAGAGTTGACTGAGTATGAAGGAATGATGGAAATAGGCTCATGACACAAGGAATGCCACAACATAAACAAGAAAACATGGTAAAACACAAACACAACAACACAATGAATAAAACAGCAGCAACAAACAAGCCCTCGGGGCCATGACAGCCTCCAGCCTTCAACCATGGACAATCGTCAGAAAATGGATGGATGGAGGAGGATAAAAAAGTATGCATCAAATGTTGTCTACAAATTAGGTGAAAGGAAAAGGTGCAGATGGAATAATGTCAGTAATTTGTCTGCTTTGTGCTCCCTACAGGTGTGGGTTTCACAGTCATACTCATTTCCCTTTATGTTGGTTTCTACTATAATGTCATCATCTCCTGGGCACTCTTCTACCTCTTCTCGTCGTTCACCAGTGAGCTGCCGTGGGTCCACTGCAACAACACTTGGAACAGTCCCAACTGCTCCGACTGGGTCGAGAACGGCTCAGTCAGCGACATTTACAAAGCCACGCCTGCTCAGGAGTACTTTGAGTAAGTTTGCACCATATCCATGGCTCTATATATTTTACTTCTAGTATGTGTCTTTTGCACTCAGTGCACACTTCTCAATAAAGAGATAACAATAGTCATTACATTTAAAAGACAATAATCACGCATTTCTAACTTTTGTAATGAATTCTGAGGCTGGTTCTCCCAAACACTGTTATAAAATTTACATTTGTACTTTATCATCATTATTTTTACATCATCAATCTGTTTAACAGACTACTTGTGTAGTTTTATAGTTAATAGAAATACATTTTTATGTTTTACTTTGTATATATATGCTTCAGCCTAAAGATGAGTTAGCTTCAGGTTCTTTGTATGTAAACCCACAAACAGAAAATCAAAGAAAAGTTTCACATCTACAACTCAAACTCTGCTCTACATGTGGCTGTAAACTGTCCCGAGTAGTTATGTATGAACTTTATGTGAGTGTTTTCATAAAAGCATTCCTTGAAAATCTGAGATATGGATTCAGATTCATATATATTAAACATAATATCTGGCTTGGTAATTGAAGGTCAGATGTTGGCCACTTAATTAAATAATTAGTTACTTAAATTACAAATTGTTGTACATTTAATGGCAACTTTTATGGAAAAAGGATGTCTTTTCCACAGAGAACTGGAGCTACAGCTCTGAAAGGTCTTCTATCCTAACCTGTGCAAGGATCTAATGTTAAAGGGATAGTTCAGATTTTCTTTAAGGATTCAATGATTTTTATTGTTATTCACATCACATGTGGTACATGAGGTGGAATGAAACTATGTACACAGGGTCCCAGTTGCATCCATCAAAAATACAAAGTACAAATTGTAAATAAAAACAGTAGTAAGATCCGAGAAATGAAATAAGAATATACTACATTCATTAAACTAAGAATTCACTAAGCACTAATGGTACAAAAACAATGTGCCAAAACAACAGCAGCACGAACATGAGTCTGTGTGAGAAGATGAGGACGAATGAACACAGCAACATGAAATAATCAGCAGCATGAGATCAGCATCATGGATAGTCAGCAGCACATATCAACAATCAAGTGGCATTACAGTGATGTTTTTCACATAGATTATCCTGGTTAGAGATTCATGAGTCTAACAGCCTCAGGGTAGAAGCTGTTCCTCAGCCTGGTGGTTCTACACTTAATGCTCCTCAGCCTTCTGCCTGAGGGGAGCGGGACAAAAAGTGTGTGTGCTGGGTGAGTGGGGTCCTTCATGATACAGGTGCATTCTTAGATGATATTCTGTGGAAAAGCTATGAACAGTTAATATTGTCCCTGTTGTATGTAGCTTATTGAGCAATGTTGGGTTGGAGGGTTGGAGAGATGGAGTTTGATTCTGACGGGATTGATGAGCAAATGGTTAGTCTGAGTGAGGCCAAAATTAAATGGGTTAAATTTCTCCAGTCAATAAAGTCCTAGTGGTTAATACAAATACTGTTGTAGAAACCACTTTCTGTTTCACTTTGCACATACAATCATTTTCAATGTTTATGTGCAGTCAAAAGGAGCGGCGGCAGCTAGATGTAGCACTTCTGGTGCAGCCTGGTGCACTTTTTGCAAGAATATAATTTGAGGGTTTATGAAGTCATGTTCACATGAACCAGCAATCCACATTAATCCTGATTCTTTGTGGTCCAGCTGTTCACCCATCTTATTTTTCTTCAAAGCGAGGTTACTCAGAGAGTTATCTTCAACAGGTAACATACTGCTGTTCAAAACCTTTTCACAGACTCCAGTTTCTTAGGAGCTTCCAAACCTGGGTGTTTCCATTGAGACCTGAGGAGGTGCAAAACACAATCTGTTAGAAACAGGATGGCCGTGACAACTCGGGGCTGTGACTCACCAAATCTTCTCTTTTCTCAGACGAGGGGTCCTTCATATTCAGGACAGTCATGGTATTGATGACCTGGGCCGTCCGCGCTGGCAGTTGACTTCCTGTTTGGCTGTGGTGATTATTCTGCTTTACTTCAGTCTCTGGAAGGGTGTCAAGACCTCTGGGAAGGTAGGACATGTAGCAGCACGAGTTATTGTTTGGTACCCAAAGAAAACCCCGGGCTGCTTTACCGTCCTCTGTCAGAGTCATGGATCACTTGAACTGTTTAATAATGCAGCTTTTGCTTCTTTGGTATTACTTGCATGAGTGTAAAAGTTTGTGGGTTTTCCTTTTTCTTAGTAAATGTACACTTTGAGCATGATGTGTGTTGTGTGCCTCCTTCAGGTCGTGTGGATCACGGCCACCATGCCCTACGTGGTCCTGACTGTGCTGCTGCTTCGCGGGGTCACCCTGCCTGGAGCCATCGATGGCATTAAAGCCTACCTCTCGGTGGACTTCCTGAGACTCTGCGATGCCAAGGTGAGTGCCACCAGAGGAGACAGAGATGCATGTGAGGGGAAACGGGTGGAGGGTCCTGAAGAAGAGGGAGGTTCTGCATGAGGATGACAGCAGTGGCAGAAAGCCACTTTTAAAGCAAGACTTTGACATTTTGAGGTATTCCCACACTAGCATTTAACTTTGTAAAAAGCCCTCCATTTGACTCAGTTAAACAGGGTTTAAAAAGCTTGGTGTGTGCCTTTTGATGTATATGGTTGACTAAAATTATGCAAAAGTGGACAGATGACTGAAAAATACTGTAGCACTGCATCACTTGGAATCTGCTGACAATCAGAGTGACAGTGCTCAAAGTCACACATTACAGACACATTTACTACAATAATCTCACATAAATGTCATGATTATGCCAAAGTGTTGCAATGATAAAACATTTTCTTCAGATTATTTATTAATTTTTTTTTTTAAGAATGAAAAATTGGTGGTCATTGCCTGGGTTTGATATGTGCACCTACTGGAATTCACCATGTCAAATTTATATTTTTACGTTATATTGAAAGAAAATAAACATGAATATGAAGCTATTTCTGCAAATTTACACAAACGTTTTGCTTAAAATGATTGTTCAGGTCTCTTGAAGTGAAATTTTGTAGAAGTTTATGAACTATTAATATTTTACCTGTAGCAGATAGTTATTTTAAATGCCTTAGGACCCATCTACACTGTTCCAAGTGTTTTTTTTTTTCTTCTTCTGTTTATCTATTTGTTCTGTTCACGTCTAAAATAAATAAATAAATAAATTATCCATGCTGTACTACGAGGTGGCACGAATGCCTACCTTGATTATGTTTCGAAATACAGAGAGACAAATTGGCTAAAGCCTTTTCCTGAAACAATTTTAGTTATTTTTTTCTTCTGTTTACCCTTTAATATGCAACAGAATTGAGATATAAAGACAATCTATTAAACAAAAAACACTCCGGTGTGTTTTTTTCCACACACAAAGCATCATGACAACAGGCATGTTTAAATCAACGCTGCTGAGTCATCAGTTCTGAAAAGTTTCATCTTTTGAGTCCAAAACAAATTAATATCTAAATTTGCATTATGCTTAACGTTTTTAAAAACCTCTGTTTTTCTCACCAAAATGCATTTATTGTGTGAACGCGACATATAGAATATTTTAGGTGTGGCCTGCATTTGGATAAACAGATAAACAGGATTATCATACATATGTTTTAGCAGAAATATCACTGGAATACAAACATCACGGTGTTGTAAAGATTTATTAAAATGCACTCGCAAAACTTTTGATACGGGACGTGTTTTAGCGCAGCAGTCCACTGTGATGTTACTGTGACCTCATCTCTCTTGTGAATGAGATGTCTGTTTAAATAAATAAATAAATAAAAAATGTTGCCGCACTCTGACTGGCCATCAGCTCGTCACCCTTTTCAGAATAAAACTTTGTTCCTCCAAACTGAGGCCTTCATAACAGCTACATATCTACAATAAGATGATTTTGCAAAACCTCCCTTTTCAAAAAAGTCTGAACTACACCTTTAAGATATGAGCAGTTAGTCTCTGCTCGGTGTATTTTGTTGATCAAATAAAAAACATTGACCGTCGATGTTAGATAATGGAACAAAGATGAAGGTACTAAAAAATAAGCAACTTGTTTATACTTTTTCTCTTTATCAGACCTTTTTATCTAACAGCTGGTGTTATGGGAGGTCAATAAACAATATGAAGAAATCCAGTCAGTGAGAGAGCAAGATGGAGACACCGACGGCAGCATGGGAGCTGTTGGGAAATTAGATTAAATAGATGCATGGAGCAGTAATTTGCAAAATTACCCCCCAGTATTCACATGGGTCTTTCATCTACTGCTGTTGAATGAGTTTCCTGCAATTATCTCTAATAACGGCGTTTTTTCCCTCTCCTGTGCCTTTTGTTCGCCGCTTCTCACAAGTGTGCTCGTTCTGTCGCTCCGCAGGTTTGGATCGAGGCCGCGACGCAGATCTGTTTCTCTCTGGGAGTGGGGTTTGGTGTGCTAATTGCATTTTCCAGCTACAACAAATTCAGCAACAACTGTTACAGGTAGATGCACAGGGGGCGAGGCGGGTGGGGGTTCATCAGGGCAGGAGGAGGGGGAGAACTTTCCTGCAGTGGAAGCATGGCGCCGCCCCAGCAGGTGAATCAGAATAACCTTTGAAGCTCCTCTAAAGCAGCGACGTCTTTCACAGCAAGCTGTGTGACGGCAGGCTGTAACGCTGATCGACACTGCTGCACGCTTTGAAAAGTCCACACAAAAGAAAGAATATCTCATTTTTTCATGTTTGTAAAAAAATAACCCAGTCCACCTCAAAGACTTTTCATTGACGTAGCCATTTGTAGATCAGCACAAAAAGCTCACGAGTCTGCACGAGAAACATGTGCTCCCTTTTAACACACTTTAAGAAAGGATTGCCAAATTCAAACTATTTACTTTATTAGGTTTCAACAATAATATCTGTCACACATTACATTGACAACAAGATCTGAAAATGAATAAAAACAAAAAGACTCATGTAAAAGGGAAGAGTCTTACAAACGCAATACATTTCTTACAAGAAAATACTGCACACTATGAATACTTTGTGGACAGATATTGTGTTGCTCAGTTTTATTCACTTTTTCTACTCAAATTTTTAACAGTAACACATGAATACCCACTGTGCCACTAGGAGGTGAGAATTTACTTGAAAAACATGAAAGTATTAAGAAAGTAAATGCTTTGCTTGGCTAAAACTTCTCCTTAAATGCCTTTTTTCTGCACCTTTAGCAATTCTTTTTCTCAGTTTTTAACCATTTCAGCACAAGATCAAAGTCTGACAGCAACAAAATAATATAAGGGTAAAGTGAGACAAACTCAGAACAAAGCTCCTCATTTGATAGTTTAAGAAGTGACAGTTGTCATGTACACATGGCTGCTACGCCATTGCTTCTGAGAAGCCAAACAAAAGTTCACGCGTTAGTTTTATTCATGTTTAATAAAAATGAATAAAACCAACGTTGACCAAAGAGCTTCACAATGAAGGTAAGAACAAGCTAAACAAAAATAAATTGAATAAAACTAATCAGACATTGAAACAAAAATTGAAAGTTGAAAAGTTGAAACTTTTCTCACTTCATTTCACTCCATCCTGGAGTGAAATGAAGTGAGAAAAGTTTCAGGAGTGATTTGTGATTAAAGAGTGTCAGTAAAGGTCAAAGGAAAAGTTTACAAAACTGTGGTGAGACCAGCTATGTTGTATGATCTGGAAACAGTGACATTGACAAAAAGTCAGGAGAAAGAACTGGAATAGCAAAAATGAGTTCAAGTTCAAGAATCTTTATTATCCCCAAGGGGCAATTTGTTTCTCAGTCAGTAGCACACAGAACATCCATACTAGACAATACATTGAGATGTTAAAATAACAGAAATCATTATTGTTCGTTGAGAAGCCTGACTGCTACAGGGATTAATGAGTTTTTCAGTCTGTTGTTTCTACATCTGGACTGTAGATACCTGCGTCCAGAAGGAAGCAACCTGAACTCACCATGGAGTGGATGATCAGGATCTGCCAGAATCAGCCTGGCCTTGTTCACTGACCTCGCTTTGTGTAAATCAATGAAGCTCTGTAGAGCTACGTCAGCAGATGTTGAAGATGTTCAGGTTCTCCTTAGGAGTGACAAGAATGGATAAGATTATAAATGAGATCATCAGAGGTACAGCACACATTGAAGAACTGGGAGATAAAGTTAGAGTCCAGACTGAGATGGTTTCAACATGTCCAGACTAGAGGAGGACAGTGGGTTTATTGGTAGAAGGATGTTAGAAATGCAGCTGCGAGGAAAAAGACAAAGAGGAGATATATGGATGCAGTTAGAGAGGACATGGAGGTAGTTGGAGTGAGGACACAGTGAGATGGAGGAGGAGGACTCGCTGTGGTGACCCCTGAAGAGGGAAAAGCCGAAAGAAGAAGAAGAAGTCATTGAAATAAAAAGCAGACTCCATAAACTATTTTCAAAAGTCACTTTGGAAACTGGATATTCATGTCAATTTCTTTAAATTCAAAAGCTTTACTTGTGTGAGGACAGGACAGGCAAACAAAGCAGAATTGTTTATTTATTTATTTGTTTTTTATCTAGAGTAGTTTGGATGGAGCTTCAAACTTCTGAAGTCAAGTCACAAAATGGACTGTATAAATGGACTGTACATATAGTGCCTTTCTATCTGATCAATATACTCTAAGCGCTTTACACTACAATCTGTGTCCTCACTTACCCATTCATACAGCACTCTACATCTCTACAAAGCTAATTGAACAAATCATTCTAAAGAGACTAATCAGAGCTTTAGATCACATCCATACACCAATGGGACACACATCAGAGGCAATGAAGGGGTTCAGTGTCTTGCCCAGGGACACTACGGCATGTGACTGCTGGTGGATTCGAACCCCCAACTCTCGCAGTGGAGGACAACTGCTCTAACCACTCAGCCACAGCCACAAAAATGAACTGCATCATCCCGAGAAGTTGGAATTTTGACCTGAAAAGTCCAAGTTTTTTCACCAAATCCATCCTTAAAAATACTACATGGCTGTCTTGCATTTAAAAAGGGACAACATCTGCATTGATAACTTGCTGGTACTCACTTCTATCAGTTTCTCATTAAATCAGGCCCCCACATGTAGCTTTTATCAGTAAACATGTTGCTGTAGTGGTTAAACATTAAAAAATGCTGGAATGATTTGATCAACTTGTATTGCTAATTATCGTTAGCTCGGGAGCATAATAATTAGTGAATCCCATGTTTTTTTCCAACTCTACCATGAGACACAATTAAATAAAATGAATATCTGATTTATTTACTTAGTTTTTTGTCTGTTTTATTTTGTCCAGAGACGCCATCATAACCAGCTCCATCAACTCTTTAACCAGTTTCTTCTCTGGCTTCGTGGTCTTTTCCTTCCTTGGGTACATGTCCCACAAACACAACGTGGCTCTGGATAAAGTTGCTCGAGATGGTAAATTACAAAAGTTCAACATATCCATGATTTATTTTTATTAAACACATCAGATATCATTTGTATTGGTGGTAATACATAATACATCCCCGTACATGTCTGGTCACAGGGTATCTGAAAAATGAATTTCCAAACAAATGCAAAATACAATAATATACAACAACAGTGGTGGAAATACACAATATAACTTGCACTTTTTAAGTATTATGTATTACTGTCCCCTGTCATTGAGCAAAATGGGGGAATTGGAATAACCCCCCCATCTGTTCGCCCATCTATCCATGCATGTTTTGAGCACAATAATCTAAAAAATAAGTGAAGTAAAGTACAAACTTTCATTTTTGTGTGTGGCTGCACCTAGGCATTAGAAAAGTTCCTTTAAAAAATGGGGTTGCCAGGTCAAAATCCAAGATGGCCATCATCATATACAGTACAGTAGTCCCTCGCTACTTCACTGTTTGTTTATCATGGATTTGCTCTATCGCGGTTTTTCAAAATAAGATTGGACATAACACAGTTGTCTGATTGATGGATGAGCCGCATGACCAGCATGGAATTTGTATTTAAAATAAATTATTTACAAATTTTTAACACCTGTTCCACATTGGCCCAGCCCAGAGCTGAAGGATAAATGTCCTAGTGCAGCTGATCAGCTGTTCACCGTGCAGAGTGGAGAAGTGGGTGTGGCCAAGAACACTTGCAGGTGGCAAAGAGCAGAGGAAGCAGGGAGCTGAAATCACGACATTCTGTGCTCTTTTAGAGCGTTTAGAGTTTAGAAACATTGTTTAGAATATTGCAAGAGTGTGGGAAGGGTTTAAAACGCCTTTTTATAAAATAATAAAATAAACTACTACTTATTACTTGTACTACTATTCCTACTTTGCGATTTTTCACTTATCGTGGGTTTTCAGGGTATGGATCCCTGGCAATAAACAAGGGACTACTGTATATGTGTAAACTGGCGACTGCTATCATTTGAGGAAACGGCAATTTCTACTATTTGTATTGCTTAAAAGTAAATTTTACTCAAATTATTGGGGTAGTCTAAGATTAATCTATGGGGGCCAAAGCCACCATTGGCCACCCCCTGGCTCCTCCATTGTGCCTGGTCGTGGATAAAGTTGTTTCCTACACTCTCAGGACCTGTCACTCTGCGCTGCCTCAGGCAAGAAAAATAAAAAACCTCCCCTGTTCTTCTCCACACTGTAACTCCTACCCACTGGGATATCTTCTAAAACCATTAAGGTTTATGTACTTACATCCTCTGTTCAATTCCAGTCCAGAAAAACTTCATAACCTCTTAAAAACTACAAACATTCACAATTTTTTTTTTTTTTTTTTCAAACATTCACAATTGAAATCCCTCAGCGACAGAGGACACTGCTTGTTCGCACTGTTTTTGTCTTTGTGAGATGAATTACCTGTTCTGTTCTTTATGCATGTTATCAAAAAGACAACTTAAACGTGTTTCTTTGTTTTGTTCTGTTTGTTGACCAGTCCATCCAGAAAGCTGCAGTATAATCGCTGTTTCATTTTCTTGACTTCTCCAGGTGCCGGGCTGGTGTTCGTCATTTATCCTGAAGCTATAGCAACGTTGCCTGGATCATCAGTGTGGGCTGTCATTTTTTTCATCATGCTGTTGACACTCGGTATCGACAGCGCCGTGAGTACAAACCAACACATTCACTGTTAAACTACTGGTTTAGCTTTAGTTTTAAACTTTGCCCTGGTGTGGATCACTGTTTCTGGGTAGTATGGATGTCATTGTGCAAAAAAAAAAAAAAAAAAACTAAGACATTTCTGTCAGATATTGTTTTTCTTTTTGCCTCTGTGTAGGAATCGTGCAAACCTCTGCTGTTAGACTCTGACTCTCCTGTTTCCTGTCTTAGATGGGTGGTATGGAGTCGGTGATCACAGGTCTAATCGACGAGTTTAAATTCCTTCACAAGCACAGAGAGCTGTTCACGCTCTTCATTGTTGTTTCCACGTTCCTCATATCCCTCTTCTGTGTCACAAATGTAAGTCGTCTTTATCCTGGGGAGTCTCTTGCATGACATATTAATGATAAATATGCATCTTTTAGCAGGGACCTCAAATAAATCTGTGCAATCCTGATAAAAATCCACTCTCCCTCTTAGAAACAATGACAGAAATGAAAAGATGCAATCCAAGTCATAATCTGAATTAATTTACCATATTTTCCGCAGTACAAGTCACTCCGGTGTATAAGTTGCATCAGTTCAAAAATGTCTAACATGGTGACAAAAACCATAAATAATTATTATGCATCACCACTGACGCGTCGTGTTTGTTATGCGTCACCGCTGAACACCTGGAAACGTGGGCTGGTTTTGTTCCAAAAATCGATTGGCTGCCAAAATGGTGGCTGCAGGAGCATGCATGGGAGGACTTTAACAAGAATTCAACAAGATTAACACTAAAAAACAGTTATTTATTTGCTTGAAATTATAACAAGGTGTTTCCCAGTCAAACTTTTCCTTAATAAATGCACTTTAATCGTCAAATCAGCTGCATTTTGCCTGGGCAACGCGGCGAAATGCAGCTGATTTGACATTCGATCCAGGAGTTCCGGAGCGAGACGAAGGTGGTTGTATGGCAAGCCAAGTGTCTCATTAATAGCCCCTTTTACCTATAAATGAGACACTTGGCTTGCCATAACGTTTGAGGGCCCGCTAGCGGCTGCAAATGGTAATGTTTAATATTTTTCATGTCAGAATGAATGAAATCATCAGATCTCAGCCAAAAATTGGATTATAAATATGGAGGGAAAAAAGTATATGAGTCGCTTCGGTGTGAAAGTCGCAGAACTTGCAAATTTATGCAAAAAGGTTAGACTTATACGCCGGAAAATACAGTACACTTAAAAGTAATTTTAAATGTATTTTGCATGGTACAACTGTCAAAGATTGACATGTTTGTGCACTTTCAGGGCGGGATGTATGTGTTCACGCTGCTGGATCACTTTGCAGCAGGAACATCGATTCTCTTTGGAGTGCTTATTGAAGCCATCGGCATCGCATGGTTCTACGGTGAGAGAGACGGAGCAGAGAAAAACACTGATTTATTCCTTTTCCATGGCCAGCAAAGCTGATGCTTTATTAAGTGTATGATGAGACATCTGCTGGTCCTGGCGTTCTGTGCTGCAATACAACAAACTTTGATTAGAAATAAAAATCCTGCAGCTTGAAGGCACATTGTCAGTAATAGCGCTGGCCTCTTCAGCCTCTGCCTGCCAGTGCAGGGATATTTGGGCTACTGGTGATGTGGAGCTCATCAAATGAACAAATGGTGAAAATAGTTGATCCTTTGAAACCTTTGTGCCCACTCAGCAGTGTATCAACAAACAGGGAGAAGTTACAGCTGGAGAACAACTTCAGTTTGTCCCATTCAGGAGACAAATAGACGGACAGAGTTGTGGTTTGATTGACCAGTTCCCTTCAAGAGTCAGGTTTTAGTATATGTGACACTTTTTGTTAAAACAATGGATCAAATTTTGTTACATAAAGTACACAATTTATTGACTATATTTGTGTGAATATTTATGAAGCATTCACACTATTGTGATCCATTTTTCTTCCGTACATTTTTTGGCATCCTCCATGTTCCACAGTTTTTGTGCAATTTCAACAATTCATATATCAAAACGTTCAGCTCGTTCAGGAGAAGGCGATATGACGTTTGGGGTGCATCTTTAGCTTTAAGAACTATTTAGCCTTTTCTGCAGCTTTTTTCCCATAGAAAATGAACTGAGTTCATTTTACACAAATCTTTAGATGTGTTTACAACCTTTTACTGCTCCTTTTACATTTTGTTCTGGTTCAGCTTCTTTCAGCTTCCTTGTGCAAATTTTAGCTATTTTTCTGCTACTTTCAGCTACTTTCAGCTGTTTTTTTCAGTTGTTTTGTGCTCCTTTTAGATTATTTCTACTAACTACAACAGTTTTGAGCTTCTTCTAACATCATTCTGCTATTTTTAGCTTGTTATGCTTCTTTCGGCTTATTTATGGTAGTTTTGGCCTTTTCTACTATTTCATCTACTGTTTAAATGTTTTATGCTCATTTTAGCTTTTTCAGCTAATTCCACATTTTTTGCACTCATTTCAATTTTTTTGCAGCCTAATTCACGTAACGTGCTCTCTCCACTTCCTTCTGGTAAATTAAGCTTATTTCTGCCCCTTTAGCTGCTTTTCAGCTGTTTTTTGTTCATTTCTTTTTTTTCATATAATTTCCACATTTTTTTTATCATTCCTGCTTCTTTCAGCCTAATTGAGCAAATGCTGCATATTATTTCTGTTTTGTCTGCTAACGTAAGCTTTTTATACATTTTTAGCTACCTTTTTAGCATTTTAATTAATTTCCGCTGTTTTCAGATAAATGCAAGTTTTTTGTGGTAATCTTTGCTCCTTTCAGCCTAATTAGCTTTCTGCTAATGCCGGGATTGTTATGCTAATTTCAGCTTCTTTTTTAATTTCTGTTAGTTTCAGCATTTTCTGCTATTTCAGCTACCTTCAGCTATTTAACTGCTTTTTATGCAAATTTTAGCTTTTTCAGCTAATTTCACTTTATTTTTCAAATAATTTCAGCTCTTTCCACTTCTTTTTGGTTGTTTAAATGTTTTTTCTGCATTTTCAGCTACTTTTCATCTGTTTTTTGCTAATTTAAACTTTTTTAGCTTATTTCCTAATTGTTGTACTCATTTCTGCTTATTTAAACATAATTCAGCAAATATTGTTCTTTCTTCCTTCTTCTACTAATTTATGCTTGTAATTCCTTTTTAGCTCCAATTCAGCAAGGTTTTTTTAGCTAATTTCAGCTGTTTTTCTGCAACTTCTTCAGCAATAAGCATTTCCACTGCCTTTTCGCAGGAGATGTAATTTCTCTAGTTGATTATATTTTAGTGTCTTCTGGGGACAACATGGAAGAAATATTTTAGTTCTCAAGGTGGAAAATAAAGAACTAAAGGTCTGGAAGGACTTTTTTTATGTCTCTTTAACCTGACTGTGGAGAGTTGAATATAGGAGTGCATTCTAAGATGGCTCCAGGCGAAGGGGTCAACATATTGCCCCACTTTGGTGGGTCCTGACCTTGGCAAGTCAGATAAATCAAGCCTGAGGCCTCAGCAGGCTTTTTTCCCACTGTCTTTATGAGTGCTGACAAGAACCATTGACCCCTGGCTGCTGCAGTCTTCTGTTCTGTGTCCGCCGCTTCAGTACATTTAGTTTAGCTAGTTCCTTGCTTGTCAAACTAATGTCTTTTGGACATAAAGGTATTTTAAGAACTGTACAAATAAAAAAATTAAATACGGTAACTGTTCAATCATTTAGAAGCAAGATTAGAGCAGCAGCTATTACACTTAGCTCTATAAAATCACTGATTTATCTGAAACTGAGATTTGCTACTTTAATTACTGTGTTACTGTGGAAAAGTCGAGTGGACTAAAGTGGTCTTGATCAAAAGTTATTCAGATTCAATGAAGGTTTTTAAAAACCTTTAGTTTTAATGACTTTTTGTCCTCTACCTGATCATGTTCAGTTGATTTTTTTGTTTTTTTTGTTAAGCCAATTAACTCTGATCTGTCAATCATTCAGGAAAAACAAAATTCAAAGAATTAACCGTTATTGTGTTTATGCGCAGCGTAAGGCCAAATGTAAATGGGCTCTTTGTAAACATTGTTACAAAGATACAATTCCCTGTTTTTCTTTGAGTTGAATTTATCAGTGAAACCTTTAAAATAACTATTTTTTCACACTTTCTGGTCATAACTTCAAGATACTGTACATCTACTGAAGATTGTTAATTTAGGCCTGAAACTTTTGTTCTCCACTTTTGTCATTTTCATAGAAGCACACAGTGCACAATAGGCTCATGTACAAGGACTGAATAGAAAGTGTTTGATAAAGCAGCCAATATTAATATAATAAACCTAGACAATTTTTGAAATACGTCCAGAGAGTCTGAAGAACTAGGACCACTTTCTTAGGTTACAAGAAGGTCTGACTGCTTTGAAACTAAATGTTGAGAAGTTGGTTTAAAACTTTTTCACACACCTTTGACCCCTGCTCTTCCTGATGCCATGAAGGTATGACAGAGATTTCTATGCTTTAGGAGTGGATCGATTCAGTGATGACATCAAGGAGATGATTGGCCATCGGCCAGGCCGATACTGGAGGCTGTGCTGGAAGTTTGTCAGCCCCTGCTTCCTCCTGGTGAGTTCCACAAACCCTGAACATGGAAATATATCAAAGTATCCATGGTGGGGAATCTGTATGTTTATTCTAATGTACAAATGCCTTGCACTGTTGGCAACCAAAGGACAGCCCATTTTAGAGCCACTTGGTGGTTTTTACTATGTTTATTTCAGTGCCGGCCCAAGCCTCCATGGGACCATAAGCAAAATTTAGTTTGGGACCCTCTATTTCTGCTAATAAGGTGGATTACTGCAAATGATCAGATCATTCACTCACCTAATATAAACGCATTGCAACTCTGACAGCCCTGTTTACATAATTCTATGTGTGTATATCATAAAAGTAACAAAACAAAAACAACAAAAAAAACACCAGTATGCAATGTATTTTACTGTAAAAGTGTAATCTGGTTTATTATCTTCGGTTCCAAAGAACTGCAACAGTAATGTTCAAAATAAGTTGTACTGCAAGATCAACAACAAACAGATAAAATAACTAAGATGTATAAAACATATATTAAACTTTGCAAAAACAGACAAAATTTGATTAAATAAAAAACTAAATATCAAGAAAATGCTTAAATAATGAAAATGAAACATTACTTGAAACCACCTAAAAGGTTTAAAAAATGCATTTAAAGTTGAATAATTAGTTCTTAAAATTATGTAAATGTATGCAACAAATGGAAAATGCTGAGCTGAAAATATTAAATAGAATCATATAGAAATCATTACCAAAAAAATGTTTTTTTTTTTTTTCAATTCCACTTAGGGGGCCCCCTAGTGGCCCCGGGACCCTAAGCAGCTGCTTAGTTTGCTTATGCCTTGGGCTGGCCTTGGTTTATTTGAGAAACTCACCAGAGGTGCATATCTTTATTTCCCTCAGTTTATGGTTGTGGTGAGCTTTGCCACCTTCAACCCTCCTAACTATGGCTCCTACAAGTTTCCTCCATGGGCTAACATGATGGGATGGTGTCTGGCCATGTCCTCAATGACCATGGTGCCGCTCTACGCCATCTACAAACTCTGCACGTTGCCTGGAAAGTTTTGCAATGTAAGTCAAAACTGTGTTTGGGACAAAAAAAAACAAAAAAAACTTTGGTCATGTTTTGTCATTTGGAAGGTTTACTGCTTGAGCAGAGGCTCTGATCTTTCTTCTTTAACAGCGAATTGCTTATGCCATCACCCCTGAGACCGAGCATCATCTGGTGGAAAACGGGGAGGTTCGGCAGTTCACTGTAAGTGGCCCTCAATCATTAATATGTGTCTACACCTTATTACATCTCTAAATGCTTTATATTTGTTTACTTCTTTATATCTCTTTAAAAGCAGTAGTTCAAATCTTTTGAAGTTTGATTCTGAAGAAGAGTCATGAACATTCAATATCTTATCTGTTGTAGATACTGTATGTTTCTTTGTATAAGTCACAGTTTTTGCATAATTTACATGCCCTGCAATTTATAGGCTGAAAAGGCATATTTATGGATTTTTTTCCCCCATATTTATAAACAATTTTTTGTCTGAGATATGACCGTTTTCATTCATTCTGACTAGGAAAAAAAAGAGCAGTACCACTTTCAGCCACTTGATGGCAGTAGAGTAGTAATTGTGGTATGGCATGCTGTTGGCTGTTGTATCATGTAATAGGAAAACATGGCCATCCATCCATCCATTATCTTTTGCCCGCTTCTTCCATTTTGGGTCACGGGGGTCGCCAGTGCCCATGTCCGGCAATCACTGTGCGAGGGGCGGGGTACACCCTGGACGGGTCGCAAGTCCATCACAGGGACACATAGAGACAAACGAGACAAACAACCATTCACTCTCTCACTCACCTAGGGACAATTTTAGAGTTTCCAGCTGAACCATTCTGGTGAAATGCAGCTAATTTGACCATTAAAGTGCATTTATTAAGTTGTTAGACTGACACACACCTTTGTTATAATTTCTAGCAAAAAAATAATTGTTTAGGTGCAGTTCTTGTTAATTTTTGGAGAAACGAGCTGCGTTCCTCCTTCCTTTTCTCTTCCTCTGCGTGTTCATGGAGCACCGAGGCAGCAAACAATTTTTTAAATACAGCTGATTTGACCATTAAAGTACATTTATTAAGCAAATGTTAGATTGATACACACTTTAATATAATTTCGAGCAAACAAATAATTGTTTTGATTAGGATTGGAGACAGGTGCGACGGGAGCTGCACAACAAGGAGGGGAAAACACAAGGATTACCGAAATGACAGAAATTAAAAAACACAAACACAAAAATCCGACAAAGGGCTACAAAATGTTATATTCTGAAGTGGTTACAAGATGTCAGCAGTCCATTTCTGTCTCGCCCTTATCTGACTAGCTCTGATCAATCTGGTTAATGTAACACTCTCCTTCTCCAAATTGAGGTTAATTGTCTATCTACAACAGGTGAGATGTTATTTGTTTGTCACATTTCTGCAGAAATCAGCAGAAGTGCCTGTTACATCAGTTTTTTTTATAATAGATATTAATGCATTTTTGGAAAGACAAAATTATTAACAAATTGGAAAAAAAAACATGCTGCTGAGATGAACAGTGGTTGAAATAATGTTGTGCACAGTAACAGGAAGTGATGTCAAAGAGGAAGACTTGCAGGTTAACAGAGCATTGCCACAAGGGCTATGAGTAGAGAAGAATCTGAGCTTTCTTTAGATTATTTAGAGTAATTTAATTAGAGAAACAAAGAAGAGTCAGGGTTCAAATATGATTGTTTTAATAAACAAAGAGCATGAAGTTAACCTTTTTCAACCTTTTTCCTCTCTGATGTCACTTCCTGTTTCACTTTAGCTGCATGTTCATAAGAAAATGTGCTAGATACGTGACAAGATTAGTAAAATTGTGTATTATGCCAATATTTTTTTAAACATTAAGATGTTTTCCTCCACTTTTTGCATTTATAGGATATGCACATTACATGCACTTCGCTTTGTGTTTAGAATTTTAGATTTGTAAAATGATTTACTTCACGAGTATCCTGCATTTTTGTTTCACAGCTTCATCACTGGCTGGTCATCTGAAAACTACAGACAAAACTTTTTAAAGGGTGAAAAGAAAGAATGTCTGCTGAGGGAATGAATGAATGAACAACAGAAGTCTAAAGAGCTCAGAAGAAGACGGCCATTTCAAATGATTACAAAAAAATCACAAAAAATTATGGTAGGTGAAGCTTAAAAGTGCCATGAAACAAAGAAAGTAATGACAGTGGTATTTTATTTTGACTGTGTGTATGTATTAAGCTTCCCTTCTTCACATGCTGACAAATGAAATTCAGTCAAACATCAAATTTATTGTGTAGTCTGAATTTTCCGTAAACGCAAAAGTCCTTGAACGCATCTTATATCAGTTTTAAACCAAACCACCAAGCTTTTTTTTATTTTCTTGCATTTAAGTCAATAAATGATGAAAGCTGCAGGTGAACAAACATAAAACAGTTTAATATACTTTGTGTCAAGTCCAACTTGGCTCAAAGTTAAAGCAAAAACAACAAAATCAAACTCGTCATGACGTTGAGGTGCTATGCCACCCCCTGTTTCTTACTTGCTTGCTGATAAAATTCAAACAGAAGGTCAGCTTCATCTTTTTTTTTCTGTATTGTGTGTCAGTGTTTATCAGGCAGAGTTGACTGAATTAACTGAAAAGTAACAATTGACATAAATGTTGCTAAATCAGTCCTTACAGCTCTGATTCATTTTTCATTTTATTTTAAAGACTGTTATGACGTTATCACACTTCAGTAATTTCTGCAAAACTGCATTTTTTTGAGCTCTCCATTAGCCAACATAAAAATCACCAAAACAAAGTTTATCACAAACCTCCATTGTGGCAATTAAAAAAATGCTGCATTACTCCAATTATACAATTATTTATATATTCCACAGCCCCTTTAATTGATAAAGATACACTGCATTATTATTACATAACCAAGAAGTGAACTAACACCTAAATTAAACTTTCAAATAAGAAAACTGTGGAGCCCCATAAAGGTCAGGAAAATAATTTAAAAACCACATGAGCAGTAGCTGGCAACACGGTTGGGTTAACTTGTGATTTATTTGTGGTATACATTTCCTCTGATGTATAAAGAAAGATTGTAATGTGTTGCAGTAGCCTGCTGATGGCTGTTACACCAGGTCATTGTGGCCTGAGCTGTGGTTGCTCAGGGACCTGTCTTTGTGTAATGATGGGTTTACTGGTTCAGAATTATATCGAAGCCACTGTTTTCCTGAAATCTTGAGGTCCATCTATGCTGCATCAAAATCCAACATCTATCTAAAACTGTTGCGCACAGAGCACCTTAGTATGTATCCGCTACCGTCCTCGTTGCAGTCATGTAGAGCAACAGCAGCTGAACACTGCTAATGACCAGACTTTTAAACAACAATGAGCAAGGGGAATAAATTGTGTAGAGGCTGTTGATATGACAGGGCGAACAAAGATCCTTTGTTAAAACTCCACCCATTCATCCATTTTCTTCACCTGCCTTTTCTTTCCAAACTCCACAGCAGCTGGTGTCTATTTCCAGTAGTCGAGAGGCGGGGGGACACCCCTGGGCAGGTCTCCAGTCCATCACAGGGATACAGACAAACAAGACCAACATACAGTCACACTTTCGCTCTCACTTAGAGACAAAATCCACTCATGCACAGATAGAACATGTAAACTCTGCCCAGAAAAGCTGGGAGGTGAACCTGCAACCTTCTTGCTGTAATTTCACAGCCTTATCAACTGTGCCATCTGAGCAGAGAAAACATCAAGCACATTCTAACCACATAGCAAAAGTTCTAAACATTTGAAGTAGTTGTATTATGAAAAAAAAAAAAGCATTGAATGTTCCACTTGCTGTAGATATTATAGCTCTTTGAACAAATTCAGTTTTGGAGAAATGCAATTTATTCTGACACTGTACTCATCAATGCTTTGTCACAGTGAGGTCAAGACCAAACTGCAGTGCTGCTGTCCAAAAACAATTCCAATCTCAATGTTTCCCTGTCAAAAAATTCCACTATCCTCTATGGCATTACAGTATGCACCTATTCCTGGATAAATAATAATAATAAAAAAAAACATTCCTGCCTGAAGTGTCCCATGTAGCACTGGATGTGCTACAGCTAGCTGCTGCTGTTGCTGGTTGTCCTTGCAAAGGAGAATATTAAATGAGAACTTAAATGGATGTAAAGGCTTATAAAACAACATTTTGAAATATTGGAGATTGGAATTGTTTTAATGCTAGCAATACAGAATGCAGCCTGATACCTTTAAAATGCACACATGGGACTTTTAGAGTACATACACGGTACCTTTAAAGTACATACCTGGTACTTACAGGGTACATATCTGGTACCTTTAAATTACATACCTGGTACTTACAGGGCACATATACGGTACCTTTAAAGTAGTTATTTGGTACTTACAGGGTACATACTGAAAACAAAACTGGTACCAACCAGGTGCAAGTCACTTCATAATACAGCTCGGTACCTTTAAGTAACCTGTATGTAACCCTGTAAATGACAGGTATGTTTGATCAATACCAGGTATAAAATCTGTATGTACAGGGTAACAAGTCACTTTAAAATACAGATTGGTCTCTTTATATACCCTGTAAGTACTAACATAGGTATGTTGTAAGTACCATATACATACCTCCTAGGTAAAAGGTACCTTTTCAGTAAGTGCAGGGTAACAAGTGACTTCATAATACAACCTGTCCCTGAAGGTACCTTTTAAGTAGCAGGTATGCTCTCATCACAGTACCCTGTAGAGACAAGGTACATGATACATGCCATATCTGACATACCTGGTAAGTACCAGGTACATACTAGATAAGCAGTAAGTGCCAGACTATATTAAGTATTGCTGTGGTTTTAAACTGATATATCGTCTTTGATCTCAGCCCCACTCTGACTAGCTGTGAGCTCATTATTCTTGTCAGAAGTTAAACTCTGTTTCTCCAAATAGCTTTTCTTCACTCAAAATACAGTACATCTACAACTAGAAGCACTCGGAGAGCGCACACCTCTACCAGGATCCAGGAGTCACTCACTCAGTAACATCTTGTGCACAGACAAGAAATAAAAAAAACAAAATTCCTGAATGGTGATCCAGATCACCACCAAAATCTAAATGTTTGTTCTTTGTGACAACCTCAACATTTCCTGAAAATTTCGTGAAAATCAGTTCATAACTTTTTGAGTATTCTTATGCACAGACTTCCGATAACCTCCTTGGCGGAGGTAAGGTGATATATTTATTTCCATAACCTCTCTGTCCAAGCCCACTTCTAAAGAGTTGATATAAACATAAAAGTCCAGCCCATTGTTGTTAGCTGAGCCCCTCTAGCATCACGTGTCTAACATGATTCATAAAACTGATTTTAGATTAGGATTGAAAAAGGGTTCATACTCTCAAAGAAACACTTCAAGATGTTTGAGGGAAACGACTGTGGGTCTCGTTCTATAACAAGTAAACTTTGGCCATTCTGATGTCTGAAACACAACAGAGCCAGTTGGTTGTTAAAAAAAACAGGAAGCAGTAGAGATATATTTGTTGTTCATTTTAATTTGAGTGATTCTCCGGTGATCTCTTTGTCAACTCTGATACTAGAGTGTTGTTCAGGATCCTCACATCTAACTGGAAGGGGAAGTGCTGATCGATCTGAAAAAAAATGGCATCCATTCCTTGGTTTTAAATGCAGATAATTGTGGCAAGACCAATCTCTTGTTGCGGTTAGCTGAAGCCTTCAGTTGGGTCCAGCTCTGTCTTAAAGTCAGATGAAGTCGTCCTCAAATCATCCTCACTTCGACCTTTCGGTGTCTGTGAAACAGCATCAGCCACACTGCTCAACCAAAGAACCGACTAAATCAAACACTGTTCTTCAAATGAGAACATTTGTTTTGCCAAGAATCTTTCTTTCTCACAACCATTACATTTTTCTTGGTCCTCCCTCTTATTATATGGAAGCTTTGACCGTCACTTTAGCTTTAGATGGCACTGAGCTTTAATTTTACAGTTGACACATTCTATCTTTTAAGACTGTTTAAAAAGCTGCTTTTCAATCAAACTGCAAATAAATAGTGTGTAATGTAATAAAATAAGTAACTTAAATGATATATCGGTGTAAGTAAATGTATTGTAAAGGAACTTGTATTGTATTGTACTGAAACATATTGAATTATATACATAGATATTAGCCTTAATGAGAATTATATCAAACTCCATATGATAACGCTGTATTTGTATTTTCTGTAAGGTTTATTTTCCCTGTTTGATCAAGTAATAACAGGTCAGTGATGACTTGTTTTCTCACCTCGTGGTACCTGTAACACACCAATGGATTCACTGTGTCCAAGTGGTATGGCTGTGCTGCTGTCCTGTGCCCGCTGGTGTTTCTGACTGTATCATTTTGTTTTGCACTGTCACAGAAAGCATAATAAATACAGCTGTTATATTTCAAAGCTTCCTCTCTGCTTCATATTAATGAAAAACTGCTTAATATTTTCAGAAATATATTAAAAAAATGTTATTGCATGTTAGTTGTGTTTCAATGTGTTATAAAACTGTAAAAAAAAAATATTGATTGAACCCAATAGTGAGTGAATTGTCTTTTAATGGCTGGAAAATTAAGCTTTAGTATGAAACTTTTGGAAAGGAGGATGCATGGAAAAGGTATGAACAATCACTATCCTACCTGTTGCACGCAACTGTTTAAACTGTGTCATTTTGGAGAAACTGAATTTATTTCAGTCCTTAGTAACAAGCTAACAGTCCAAAGTCCAGAGTGGAGTTCTGTCATCTTCAAACAATTCCAATCTCAATAATATCATGACAAATCATGCTTTTTATTTTTAATAAATCTTTACACTTCTGACAATTTTACCTCAGTTATTACTGAGGTAAAATTCTAGACATGTGCTGTTCAAGGTGGCTGCATGTTGGAGTAGCTGTTACTTTCATTCTGGGATATTATTTTTGAAAAATATTTCCTCTTTTTCTGGATGTAAATTGTTTTTTTTATCCT